GAAAGCGGAGACGGCGGGAGGAGACGGTGGGCAGAGGTGGGCGGAGGTGGGAGGTGGTGGGCGGAGGCCAAGCGGAGTTGGGCGGAGGGGAGGTAGCCGAAGGGTGAGCGGAGGTGGGCGGAGGTGGGCGCAGGCCGTGGAGGTGGGAGGAGGTGGGCGGAGGTGGTCGGAGGCCGCGAAGTTGGACAGCCCTCTACCCAACGGGCCGTTCGACGAGAACAGGGCCATGGCGCCGCCCCGCAACGGCCCTATTCTCAGCGGGCGTGCCGATCCGGGCCGACGGCCCGGATTTCCGCGCGATCTTAAGACTTCGCGCGTCGATCCAGACCGTCCGGCAAAGGGACGGTCTGGATCACCGCGCGATCTTAGTCTTAAAGTCTTAAAAGTCTTAAGATCGCGCGGAAATCCAGCCCGTCGGTCGGTAGGCCGTGGGTGGCCCGGATCACCCAAATGCTGCGTGCCAAATAGCGATTCCTATAAGTGTAGGGATGTACTTGACCGGAGTCACAGCCAGATTCAGGTCAAAAAGTCCTAATGTGTGTAATGCTCTTTCTAAGTCAATGTGTGGCTTTAATAACTCTTGAAGTACTTTTGGAACAACCCTTCGTGTAAAAAACAGTGATGTGTGAGGATTCACGACCTCAGCAATTCCAGGAAAAGGCCCTGTCCACCCTATAAGTGAAGGCAAGCCTGCAAAAATAAGCCTCGGCCCGAGTACAGTCCAAAGTGAGCAAAATCGAGGGCCCCGGGTGGTTGCTGCCCGCACAGCATCTCCAACTAACCAGTAGGCCCAATTCCCAGGATAGATGCAGATGCTGGGCCTCCTGCAGGTTCCGGAAGGGCCCAATGCAGTTTCCAGAACGGCCTGGGCACATGGTACCAGGACAGGATGCAGTCTGGGCAGAGGCAACTCGGCCTCTCCAGCCAACACAAAAGCCTGGACGGGAGCCTACACCACACATTCTGCCACTCACCACGTGGCAGCGCTGCCGAGTGCTGCCCAGGCAGCAGCTTAGCGCATGTGGCCAGTGGAGAAAGCTGGAGCCGTGTCAGCAAGAGAGAAGGGGGTCAGGCAGCCATAGTCAGGCTGCCTCGACGATAGAGTGCTGCCCGGGCAGCAGCTTAGCGCAGCAAGAGAGAAGGGGGTCAAGCAGCCATAGCCAGGCTGCCTCGACCATAGCCAAGTGGTGGTGGAGTGGAACAGGGAATGGGAGAAGGAAGAGACGCAGGCACGTACCTGGTGTTGACGAAGGCAGGCTGTTCAATCAGGGCCTTCAAGCGGCCATGGGCTGACTTCACGCGGGACCTGTTATGGCATATTAGGCTAGGTCGATAGGAGCGTCTGCCAGTAGTTCGGGCGAATCGCCGCCACTAGGTCAGCTACATCGCTGTTGCATTGGTGATTGAAGGCGTTGAGAGGGCTTACGTTATCAAGAGACTAACAATGATTTCCTCGTTCCTATTTGGTCCACTTTGCTTTCTGCTTCCAGTTTCGGCTCAATGATATCTGGTCTTCAGTGAGATGTTCCAATTTGGTTTGTTCCTGTTCGCATTGCTTGTTTCCTTGCAGATGCAAGGATCTGCCACCATGCTGGTCTTCCTATGATACCCCCCCTCTCCCCCTCTCTACTCATCCCCCTTCTTCCCTCACTCCCCCCCCTCCCTCTCACCTTACCCTCCCCCCTCCCCTGTGCACCCAAGCCTCCACTCTCACCCATAATTGACTGGTAAACCCATCAAGATGGATGATGCTTCACAGAATGTTCCACTACTTACAAGCCACATTGACTTTATACTCGCATCTAGCCCATTTCTTTTTGGACTCATCTGGAGGTGTTTGAAGACAAATACGTCCAGGTAAGTGGCAGTGCAGGTATGTCAGCGTTCAAGCAAATCCATACCGACCAGAACTGCACAAAAGTGTGCTCCACAAAGCATGTTGACTTCATACTCGCATCCACAGCATTTCTTTTTGGATGCATCTGGCTGTCATTAAAGGCAGATTCAGCGTTGAAACAAGCCCATACGGACAAGTAACAGCAACAAAGTGTGCTTCACAACTTCAATGAATAATCGATAACAACTCAATTTGCAAAGACAATAATTATAATACCCACATCATCAGCAACTCCAATCCTCCACTCTCTGCTACAACATGTCCATGAGTTATGTATGTACGTCAGCGAAGTACATCCACTGTGGTGTGATCCATAACCCAGAGTGAAGATGACAGAACAATATACGTACCATACAAGGTGTTATGATGACAAGGATGACTCCAAGAGCAAGATGATGGCGGTACTTGGACGACATTCCCGATTGCGTGCTCAGGCTGATACCGATCGCGGAACTTGCAACTCCCGCGATGTAGCCGACACTCTGAATGACCACATGAGGCAAAAGCAAATCTTGGCGGAATTTTTCTGCATATCTTGCATAAATAATGCCCACGGGAAGGATTACTCCCCAACAGACGACGCTCATCCACGCATGTGCCTGCAACCAGCCATCGCAAGGGACCAATTTTCAATCCATAATCCATATATGATCCATAATTAATTTCTAAATTTCCAAATTATGATTTATGCACCTCGTAAAGTGTGTAGTGGTCCTCAGCTGATACCCCCTCCCAGGGCCCAGCAGAAACCGATGGTGCGTGGGAGCGTTGTGGGACCGCGCAGTTCTTTCCCTTTTTCTTTTTGGTGTTGTTCACGTAGTTTTATGTGTCGATTTCCATGTCCCGAAGATGGTACGCAAGCAGGGGGGACCGGGATCCCACAGAATATCCCGAAAGATTGTTTGTAGCCGGGGGGCGTCGGGCCCCTTGCATCGAGCAAAATCGCAGGTCCGACCCTTCTAGAAGGATTCCGGTTGCCGGTTCGTCTCGGGGCTAGCTAACAGGCGATTGAGAGTGATTTTGCAGCAAGGACGACATTGTCTCTCTCTCTCTCTCTCTCTCTCTCTCTCTCTCTCTCTCTCTCTCTCTTGATCCTTTCTTCCATACACCCAGGAGTAGGCAGGACAGACAATTGGCATGGATGAGACGGACGATCGGGAGTAGGCAGGATAGGCAATTGTTTGTTTCTCCTCCTCCTCCTCCTCCTCCTCCTCCTCGACTTCTCTATCCTCCTCTGTCTCCTCCTCCCCCGTTTTCTCTTCTTTGTCTTCTTCCTCTTCCTATTTTCTCTCCTCCTCCTCCTCGATGCCCTCCTCCTCCGGCCCCCTCCCGCCCTCCTCCTGTCCGTGATCCCCCCTCCTCCGCCCACCTCGTCTTCTTCGTCTTCTTCTTCCTCCTCTTCCTCCTCATCCTTCCGCCCCCTCCACCACCCTCCTATTCGCCCGCCACTTTTTTTCCCGTTTCGTTTTTTTTTTTTTTTTTAATGTTGCCAGCAATCAACCAATCAGTCAATTAAATTGACAATCGATCTTGATTGCTTCATTTATCTATTTGGTTGATTGATTGGTTGACTGATTGGTTGATCAATTGGTTGATTGATTGATTAATCATTCTTCCTCCTCCTCCTCTTCTCTCTCCTCCTGCTCCCCTTTTTTTTTCCTTTTCTTTCCGATTACGATCAATTACAAACCTTTCTTCTTCTCCACCTCCTCCTACTCTTCGACTTCGTCTTTGTCTTCCTCCTCCACCTCCTCATCTTCCCCATCTTCCTGTTCTTCGTCCTCTTCGTCTTCTTCCTCCTGCTGCGCCGACTTCCCCTATCCCGGCCTCCTCTACGCCCACCAGTTTTTTTTGTGTGTGAGTGAGAGTGAGAGAGTCCTTCTCCGCCCCACTCCTTGCTCGCTTCCCCTACCCTGGCCTCCTCCTCCTGCTGCTGCAATCCATCAATCAATCATGGATTTACTAATTGATTGAGGGTTCCTCCTCCTCCTCCTCCTCCTCCTCCTCCTCCTCCTCAATCATTCAATCATTCAATCAATTAATCAATCAATCAAGATTGATGGCTGATCTTGATTGCTCGATTGACGAGTTGATTGATTGGTTGATTGATTGATTGATTGATCAACTGTCCTTTGCTTCTTGCCCCGGTTATGTTCTGCATTTTTTCCTTTTTGTTTGCAGACTGTCTGCTTTTGCTCTCTGCCTCCCCCTTCCCTGCCTTCGATCCATGCCCCTGTCTAGCCCGTGGCGAGTCAACTTGTTTATATAATACACAAATCATAATTTATATATTTATTTATATATATCGTCACAAACAGAACTGCCCGGTAAAACCGTAGGCAGAAATATCTCTAACGATGCTCCTTAGCTCTCAAGAGGATAGTCAAATTCTCACCCCGCTCCTTAAATATTCCCACTCCATCATGTGAAAACGGAAGGAAAGTGCATAAAACTTGAGCTCGATTAGGAATGCGAATGGATTATACAGTGGAGTCAGGAGGACCCAACTGTCCCGAGGATAATCCCACAGGAGCCGGATACGTATATAATGTTCAGCCTCCTGATGAGTCGGTGAAACTCCAACAACGCACTTAGTCGCAGCCCCCCGTTTCTTGTCCATTTCTCCTTTTCTGCCCTGCGGTTCACTCGGCAATTCTTGGTGACTAAATAGCTTTTCTTTTTTTCTTTTTTTTTCTTTTTTTTTTTTTTGGGGGGGGGGGGGGGGGGAGAATAGCCTCACTATATACATAATACTATGATAATAGTACGACAATACATATTATACGAACCGCAAAAAAAGCCAAAGTACGGAAAGGAAAAAACAAACTGCACAGTAGAAAGTAAGCGAACGGTTTCTGTGTGCTTCATGCTGTCTTCTACTTTCTTCGTTTGTTTCTCAAAGAGCGTGCTCTTTTCGTTGATACACATGTATCGATATATAAAAATGTGATTGTTTCCTGCTTCAGAACACTGGAGAGAAGACCAGTGCTCCAACAACAAGAGACAGTAGACGAACTTCTCTGCGGTTGTCTGGTGCGTCTGACCTGAGAAGGACGATGCCGACAGCCGTGACGACACAAGAGGGTAGAAGCACTACGGCATAATTTTGTCGGGTCACTGGTTTGTGCCAAACTGCGAGGTCTGTGTTCAGAGTGACAGCAGGGCACCAAAAGAAAAGAGAAGGAGAAGATATCGGCATCCGCAGTCTAGCTTCGCTACTTGCCCAACGTGAACACTGGCAGGCGCATTCTTCCATTGAAACTTTCTTTTTTCTTTTTTTTCATGGCTACGATCCGGACGTCTGGACTGCCGATCAGACCATCTAGATCTAGACTTGCATCCACAAATCCGGTCTGGAAGATCCGACTTGGGGCCGAAATACCCAAAAAAAATACCGGGGGGGGAAGGAAGGACCCTTCCTAGGATCGAGGCTGACCCCAGATCAATGTTATCTTGAGTTTTAAGCCACTAGTACCTCTGCCAGTGTTGGGAAATTACGAGGTTTTGCCAGTTCCCGAAGAAATAGGGGGTGGGACACAGGGTCAGCAATGACCCATGAATCTGAGTTTTATAGTGCCCACGAGTGATAGGAAAAGGGAACAAAAGAAAATGCTTTCTCTACTGCAATGATGTTGGGCAGGGCAGTCCAGGAGGCTGTGCTCTTAGTCTTCCTCCACAGAATGCACCTTAACACGTAAGGCGGTCATATTCTGAATGTTACCGTTTTTTTTTCATTCAATTGTCGTGTGTTTCTTATGAGTCCCCTCCCAACGAGGCAGGGCGGAATCCGTGATCTGCTGAAGCTTTCTGTGATCTGCTGAAGCTGTGTTTCGTCAGAGGATTGTAAGGCTCATCACACAGGCACTTAGGGGAATGTATCCAGCCATCTCCACGGCCAGATCTGTGTGCCCGTTTTTTTATTCTTCTATTCTCCTTTTCGAATCTGACAATCTGGGCACGGGGCAGAGATGCCCTCACTGAGGGCACACTAAGGGTTGGACCCCACAGGATGGCGGAAAGGAAAACAATTGCCGCAAAACTGTTTCCAGGACCCCACAGCCTGCCGCAAATGTCCTGGAAAAGGCGAAATTTCTTCCGCAAACCAGGGCTGCACCGGCCACCAGCCGGTTGGACCGGATCAGACCCAACCAGGCCGGTTGAAACCCCGGTGATCCAACCGTAAATCCGGTTGGGCCCAAAACCAGGTCGATTTTTTTTATTTATTTTTTTTGATGATGGGGTTGGACTGCGCTTGTCGAGATCTCCCCGAATGCGCAGAGAAAACATTGGTCTGTAGATTTTTTTTTCATGTTTTTTTTTTTTTTGGTTGGGGGGGGGGG